CATTAAGTGGATCACTATGGCTGTTAAGCGAATCCATATTATTAAGCAAATACCGTGGTTGTTAGGTTAAGCAGTGATTCTCCATCGTAGGATTTTGAGGAAAACTGGACGTAAACGCTAGTAGAAACATCACAAAATACGGTCATGTGACTCTGGGGCAGGGTAAAGAGCCGTGAATTGCAGTCATGTGACCAGAGGGGCAACTGTTGGAAATTTGAATCTGGGTCATAAGTATTGCCCCCTCCCCCTCATTAGGTCCGTCTATCAGTACTTTGAAAAGTCATTAAATGACCGAATCGTAAGTTGAGAACCACCCACTTCCTTTCATTTTCTGGAATGTTCCTGGCGGCCTTGCTCCTAAGGATATTTAATCTGGATGTTTTTACTGGTGTTTTTATTGTTGTTGTTTTAATTTTTTTTAGTATTTTTAATTGTAATACAGATTTTGGAGTTGTAAGCGGTGTGGAGTCATAGAAATTGAATGAATGAATCAATGCAGGGACTCCTTGACTTACGACAACAATTGACCCCAAAATTTCTGTTGCTAAACGAGACATTGGTTGTGAGTTTTGCCCCATTTTACAATCTTCCCTGCCATTGTTGTTAAGCAAATCACTTCAGTTGTTAAGTGAGCGACAGTTGTTAAGTGAATCTGGTTTCCCCATTGACTTTGCTTGTCGGAAGGTCGCAAAACAGGGGCGCAAAAAGGTCATAAAATGGGGCGAAACTGACTTAACAAATGTCTCGCTTAGTAATATAAAATCTGGGCTCTATTGTGGACAAATGTCAAGGACTATCAGTAAAGTGGAATACTTCAGGTGTTTGGGAATTAATTCAAGTTCTAAGAATAGTCTAAATATCACTAATATATATATATATATATATGGGGTTTGAAGCAAAGCTGTATTTTTTTTCAAGCGTAATGCTGTAAGACTGAATAATTCTATTTTTTTTCAGCTGTTTTGACAATTCTATTAAAGCTCCTAACACTTTAATAACTATGGGGGAACAATTTGCTGGCTTTATTCCCTACTCTCTCAATTTGGGAGGTTAAACCTTGATATTTCACAATTTTTTCCTCAGTTCCTTTTCAGCTATTCTGCTTTACTGTCAGTTGGTATTGCCTTTATCTGTGAGTAATCTGCTTTTCTTCAATTACCAGGATGTCCAACCTGTTGTGTGCTGGAGGTTAGTCTGTCTGAATTCAGAGGTCCCACGACATTTCATATGGTTGTTTTAAATCGCTTTTCTCCTTTTTTTGGAAAAGACGGCAGAATTCTATTTAAGAACTTTTAAGGTTGAGAAGATGGTGGAGTGGGGATGGTTGAGAAGGAAGAAAGGAAGGGGAAGGAGAAGAGGAAGGATGGAGGGGAGGGGAGGGAAGGAGGAAGGGAAGGGACAGTAAGGGAAGGGAAGGGAAAGGGAAGGGAAGGGAGAAGGGGGAAGGAGGAAAGGAAGGGACAATAAGAGAAGGGAAGGAGGAAGGGAAGAGGGAAGGGAAGGGAAGGGGAAGAGGGAAGGGGAAAGGGGGAAGGGAAGGAGGAAGGGAAGGGGAAGGGATGGAAAGGAGGAAAGGAAAGGACAGTAAGGGAAGGGGAAGGGAAGGGAGAAGGGAGAAGAGGGAAGGAGGAAAGGAAGGTACAGGAAGGGAAGGAGAAGAGAAGAGGGAAGGGAAGGGGGAAGGGGAAAGGGGGAAGGGAAGGGGAAGGGATGGAAAGGAGGAAAGGAAGGTACAGGAAGGGAAGGGGGAAGAGAAGGGAAGGGAAAGGGAAGGAAAAGGAGAAGGGATGGAAAGGAGGAAAGGAAGGGACAGGAAGGGAAGGAGGAAAGGAAGGGACAGGAAGGGAAAGAGGAAGGAGATAACAGAGGAAGAGGAGAGGAATTGTCCTACCCATTTTGTCCTAGTCACCAAAAATACAGCTGGAGTTAGGGGAAAGAATGGTAAAACCAATGTTACAGGAAGGAAGGAAGGAAGGAAGGAAGGGAGGGAGGG